GAAATACCTTTTTAGTCAAGTAATCTTCTCTAACTCACTGATAAGAATAATTTATTTCTATGGTAGCAAATTATTTCCTTTACCCTTGGATGGGTGCTTGTGGGGTCTGTGACAAGTACAACAACAGGAAGGGTAAGATTCTGTATTGTATGTCCAGGGGCAAGCAAGAACTGCACATAACAAAAGGACATTGGTGTTTGAATCTACTGGCAGTCTGTGGCTTGTTCACTCCCTAGCTTCTGGATTTCATGTATCAGCAGTCATGCATAGCCTTCCACCACCACTCATCCTGCACAGACAATGCCACTAGCACTGTTTGAATATTTAGCTCCTCTGATATGACTGCTCAGTTTAAATTGATGTTACTTAGTAGGTGGGCTGCAAATTTCAAAGTGCTCCCAAAACCCAGCCCATGCCAGATAGGGATAATGTGTTGAAATTACATTTCACCTTTAAGAGAGAAACTTAGATCTGACCATCCTCCATACTTTCCTGTCAGATATTCTCTGTCTGCCTCTCAAAGTCCACTGCGGCACATACTGCAGGTTTCTCACCATCAGCTTCAAACCAATTTTCTCTTTTATGCTTACAATAAATGTTCATCTAAGGGACAGCGTGAATTGAAGGTTGTAGGGGACACAGGAGGACTGCAAGGCTTTGAGGTTTCTCCACCAGATATTTTCCCTTGCTGACTACAAGAAATAGTAGATTCACTTCTGCTTCTCATGGAGCTGCTCGACCACTTTTCTCTCTCTCTGGATTTCCCCATCGATTTTACACCCTACTCTTCACAAACACTTCTGCTCTTTATCATAGTTTGTAGCTATCTCAAAGACCACAGTCTGCAAGTCCAAGACCCCTGTTTCTCAACCCAGCTATTCCCAGCCACCGTGTGCACTCCTTGTAATACACAGGGAAGTGAAATTGTGAGAGGTCTGCAAGCTCCTCTAAGGAACAGAAGTTGCATTTCAATCTTCAAACAACATTGGCACCAGGCTCGGTGACACAAGAGCAAATCTTGTTTATATATCTGATCTTTCCAGGTGTCATCCCTGGCACTTCAGCCAAGTGCCATGTTATAGGCTTTACTGCAAAAAAGAGGGAGATCTACAAGCCGTTTGCCTCCCTGTCATGCTGCTTCTACCACCAAATTAAAAGAAGTGAAAAAAACCGACCAAATCCAGACCTCTGCCAGAGGGTCACACTTCAGATTTGCACAATATGCTAATAAAAGTTTTTAAACCTCAGAAAGATTTTCACACCTTAGTCAGCATTTCTGATGCTTACAGGCTTTCCTCATGTTGTCAAAACATATTTTCAGTACACACTGAATGGTCTGATGAATCAGCTGGCCCTGGGAAGTTGTAGGCTTTGTGAGAACCCCTGTGAAACCCTACAGGTGTGTATGTATATCCCCTTTTCACCCTTAGCTCTGAGCTGCCATCACCCTACCCAAATAAAAATGCTCTTGATTTTTTGCATGTGCAAGTACACCTGCTTCTTACCAGCTGATGATTCTCAGCAAGAACATAGGGATGACCTCAGGCACCTCCAAATGAAATTTTGTAGCTATGGTGGCATTTCTAACATACAAAAGAAAGAGATTAAAGGAAATAACCAGAACTGGGTGAGATAGTACTCTGGGTAAAACTTAACCAGCCTAGCCAAGCAACTACCACAGAATCATTAGACTGCCACAGACACCTCTACCCGTGGTTTAGATGGTACACCACCCAAAACTTAGGCTTAAAGTTAATACATTAACCAGAGATGGGGCCCAGTTTCTAGTCCTACACCCTGCTAGTTCCTGTAATTCATCTAGTTTATTTTTCAGAGCAGGGTGGTTCCATTCACAGGCAATGGCCTCTGGAGCTACTTGGGATGATGTTAGATAGCCAGGGTCAAAAGCAAGCCCATCCCACCAAATGCAGTTACTTTCAATCTTAAATTTCACTTTCATTCAGTCCTGAGGTGGGAAGATATTCTCCCTATTCCACCCCTACATGCAGACCTTTGAAAGTGGGAGGCAAGGTGAAAGGGCTGATCTAACCTAACCTTTAACTCAGGCAAAATGAATTTAAACTGTTAAGGGACAGAGTGCAACTAAGGCAAATCTGTGTGGCTTTACAGAAGAGGAGTTTGAGTTTGGGCATCCGGTGGGATTGCAAGGTTGAAAAGGGGGGCTGTATGGATGAGTGGGAGCTCTGACTTGCACTGCATGCTTATTTGGTTAATACATGTCTCCAGCCCAAAGCAAGACCAACAAAGCATTGCAATGGGATTTGGACTGGTTAGACAACAGATCTCAAAAGTCAGAGATTCATGGAAGGAGCCTTGCTGAACTGGAGATACTGCATGTAAAATGTCTGTGGAAATGACAAGTTGAAAGCCAAAACTCTTCCGTGTTTTCATCATTGCTCTGAATGCACATTGGCAATGAGAGCTGGCAGGGGCACGTGATAAAAGGATTACAGGACTGGAGAGTGGTCCAGACACCACCAATCTGAGTAATCTGGGGCTTCCTGGATGATTCACATTGGTCCTAATGGAGCAAAAGGTAACCAAAGTGACATGCTTGGGAGTTAAACAACACAGGTCACGTCTCAACATGGGGAGTCACATCTCAGTGGGGGCATATCTGAAAGGAAACTTGACTGTAAGAAAAGCTGATGCAATGCTCAGGTGTTAAAAGATGGAAAAGATGGGAAATAACAAAAGTGGGATGACTTTTCCACTGCAGAGCTTGATACAGGGGCTGCGGGCATAATCTGGTAACACCTGATTTCACTTTTGCTTGTGTTAATAATCTTGCTAATTATTTCAGTGGGATTAGCCATCTGTTACTGTGATGCAGGGAAATTCAAACCAGAAACATGCAAGACAGGAATAAGATGAACATTTTGAGCAGTGAGAGGCTAATGACTGGAACAGACTTCAGGTAGGAAAAAGACACTTTTGAATGTCTGGGGGTCTTCACATCAAGAGAAGGAATCAGTCGGGGAAATGGATTTAGGCCAGACACAGTGGAGAAGCTCAGCAGGAGGGTGCTGGGTTACCCTACAGCCTTGATAGGCAGGGAGGCAGACCAGGCTGGGGCACAATTCTCTGAATCGTCATGACTCTTTTCTGGTAATAAAGGATTGAAAAAGCTAAACTGTCCTCTGCACAGCACTAGCTAGCTCAAATCCTGGGATGTGACCCCTGGAAGGAAGCAGGGTCCTGTGAAGACCATGGAGCAGCTGCTGGTGTTGGGTTAGCAGTGAGGCTGTCATGATGGCTGTGGAAAGAAAGCAGCACAGTTTGGGGATGTTGTTATCAAGTAGCCACTCTATTGAAACCTGTGTGTTTTTCCACCTAACCAGTTCTTTTTTCATTCCTCCCTAGCTTCTGAGTGAGTGTGGAGTAGTGCCACATGCTCACTGCCCCTCCCGTTCTTCCTCGATGACTTTAAGGTGAGGAAATTCCTTTCTTAGGTGTTTCTTCTTCCTTCTGTCATTTATTCTCAGATCAACTGGACTATTTCTGTAGCCCATCAGAATCCTGCAAACCTAATAATTGCTTTTCAATTTGGGCGATTTAATTTATGGAGGCTTCTCCCAGTAATTTGAGGATATGTTTTTTAAAAGCAAGCAGTTGTCTGAGATGCTTTGTTATTGAATTTTCCAATTCAAGGTGAAGTTGAAGGTGCAGAAACATGATGCTGAGGCTTTCAAAGGATTAGGCCACTTAAAGTGTCGTAAGTAAATGACTCAGAAATAGAAGACGATAAAACCACTGCTGGTAAAAATACGACTGAATATTGCAGAGGCCTGGATCCCTTTACAACGATATTTAGGTCAAAGATATTTTAAAAAATGCCACTTCCCTGATCCAATTCTACAGTTTTTACACCCATATCACAAACTAAATTAGAAGCAGACAGCACTAGCTAACGATGAGAAGCATGTAAATCTACAAACTGAAACCAACAGTTTTTGGTGAAAAAATGCATTTGAAAAGATCAAACTTTGATCATGGAAGGCAGAAGGAGATAATGTAGAGTCCAAAATCCCTAGGGTCTCTCTCACCTTTGCTGAGGGCATTATAGTTTTGGAAAGTGCTTTCTCAGTGATGCTCCATGCACACCTGGAGGTAACAGCAAGTAACCAGAGCACAAGATTCATATTAGCCCATCACACCAAAATTAGGTGTATTCATGATTTATAAAGAAAGCACAAAACCATGGACTTTCTGTTGGATGTCTCTGCCAGGGTCAAGGGCTCCATCACCTGTCTTTCAGAGCAACAACAGAGGTATTATTTTGAACAAGATCTTGCCCTTGCTCCCCCAATGCACTGGCCAGGCTGGTGGCCAGTGCAGGTTGTTTGTGCTTACCACCACAGCAAAGCAGGCTCAGGGGACTGAACCCAGGTGTCCCAGGCACATCCTGTCCCCAGCAATATCCCCCCATTTGCTGGTTTTGTTGCCCCACCAGGAAGACTTGCTGTGAGCCAGTTGGAAGGGACAGCTGCACTACAGCGTGTGGTTTGCAGAGGCCAAAGAAAGCCCTGCCAAACCCCTGGCAGCTCACCCCCGTGGTTACTGGTGTATTTATAGATAAAGCTTTCAGTGGTTTCAATTCCTTCCCTCAGCACTGGGGAGAACAAAGCCCCTCTGAGGCTGACAGGTTGGACTGCAGGAGCCTTGGTGCCTGGACACTTAATGGAGCAGGGAATCAGTTCGGGTTTCAAGCTGTGACCAAGTGTCTTGGGCACTGTTTCAGAAACTACTTCATGCATTTAGGAAAGATGACCTGACACTATGACTCAGGTGCCCGTGTCTCCCTTGCATGTTAAAATTGAGGTTAAAAAATCACTGAAATGGTTCTGAAATTTGCATCTATGTCTGTCAGGGTGATCTTGATCCTATGACGAGAAGCAAGGGACCTCTGCAGATCTTCTGCAGCCTGAGATGGTTTCCTGGCAGTGTCCTGCTCCCAGGGATCAGCCAGGGGATAGGAAATGAGGTAAATGGTGAGTATTGTTGTAGAGCAGTATTTATTTTGGTCCTCACAGAGGCTGGGGAAAACTTTAACTCAGCTGCTGGGGAAGCAGTGGCAGAGTTGAAGGAGCAGGTGCTCTCCCAAGAGCAGGGAACAGGATGTTTGGGGTTGTCATCTGACAATGGTGACTGGATGGTGACTGCCAGAATCAGGTTTTTCTTGGAAAATTTATTTCACAGGTATTTAATCTAGTCTGTTAGTTCCCCTAATTGCCCTTTCTGCTTAAACAGTTGCTCAGGCACTCTATCTAATTTTTCTAAATGTATAGCTGACCATTTTGCCAGTGTTTTCTCTTACCTGTACTTCCTCAGTATTTTTTTTCCCAGACCTTCTTTTCTGAAGCAGCATTCAAATTTCTTTTGTATTTTCTGTTGAAGGGACAGCAAAAAACAGATTATTATTTGTAGCTATGAGCACTGTTTCTAGCCGTTTATGATTAATGTTGACTCTGTCACTTCACTGCCTTTATTGTGGCATCTATTTGCTTCCTGCCCCCACCCCTTTTTTGTGATCAATTATTTCACATTGTCTCAGCATCCCTGAGAAATCAGAGAAGGCTCTCTAGCAGTGGGAGATCTTTCAAATAATTTTCTCCATCATTTCATAGAGCAGAGTACATTAAACTTTCTTTGCTGTGTATGGATAAGATTTAAGTTCTGGAGTTGCCAGCTCCTTGCTGGGAATATCAAGTTTTCTATGGGATTTACTCTCAATTTATTATGTGTTGTCTTTTGTCAATTTTTAGCCCTTTCTTCTCCCTTTTGGACTTTTTCTGCACTGCCCAAACCCTCTTGATTCATTGCAGTTGCCGTCTTTCATCCTGCCATCCAATTTCCTTCCTCTGGCTGCACTGCCTGCATACAGGGCTTGCCCCAACAGACCAGATTTTGGGAACCACTGTTGTGGGTCTGTGTTTATATCACACAAGTAATTAGTGGGTTGCCACTACTGTATTACCCAAATGCCTCACCCAAACCAGCAGACATAATATAACATCCTTTCTGTGGAAAGCTGAGTCACATAAAAATCAAGTATGTTATACATAAATGTCTTTAATTTCCATTGCTCTCTTGCTGGTCTGTCTGTATCAGATGCCTTCTATTGACTCTACTAGATTTTCTGCTTTGGGCTGTCTTTCAGTGCCAATGATGTTTTGGATGCTGGATCTCTGACCAAAACTAGAAGCAAGCAATGCTGGTGAGTTGTGGAATCTCTGCAGATATCAAACAAAAAATTCTAATGAAGTAGAAGGGCTGCATCTTCTTGGTCTGTCCTTTTAGGTTAATGTTGCACATTAGTTATATATCAGCATTTACTAACCTTATAATATTCTTCTTACCACAAGGTGCCACAAATAATTAGTGACCAAGTAAAATTTATCTGCCCTGGTTCACTTCGTTAACAGAATGCTTCCCTTTTTACTTTCACAATTTGTAAACAGTACCCACATCATCTTTACTCAAATTAAATATCATTTAGGTACAAAGCACTAGCAGTGATGAATTTCCTTAAGTTCATGAGACACCATTTTGTCTCATCTTTCTCTGTCAAATTATAGGGAAAATATAATTGTCTCTTACCTTACTTCATAGCTGTATTGAAAATCAATGTTTTCTTCAAGCTGAGCCTGTTTGAACTTCAAAGTATGTTTCCTCTTCTCTAATGCTCATGCCTGCATGAACATGTTGGCTTCCTGGGCTGAGCTTCGGGGCTGAGCTGAGAAAGTACTGATGTGCTGTGCTTGGGTCCTGCTGGCTTCTTGTGAAATTGTGAAGTAGGATGCAGCCCCTCAGAGGGGCAGAAGTACTTACAGGGGACAGGATTTGCACAGAGACAGAAATGCCTGAGGTGCCATGACAGCATGTCAAACCTGTCACCCCCTTAGTTTCCTCCATTGTATACAGAATAAGACATTTTTCACTCACAATAGCAGGGGCTTTGAGCTGTGGGAATGCAAGATGCAGCACAGAGGATTACAGCTATGGGATGGTAAAAGGTGGGGAACAGGCTGGCACTGTAGAGCCCCACAGCTCTAGACAACTCATTGATGGTCAGTTAAAAAAATGCAGATCTGGAGCTGAAAAAACTGGGTTTAGTGGTAACAGAGAGAACAAAATTAGTATCTAACATGCCTAAGGGGGACTGCCTATAGTAGGTTGTGTATAGACCAGTGAAGAGAGAAGAAGGTATAGAAGCATGTTGGAGAACACAGAAAAATGATCCAAAACAGATCCTAGAAAAAAGACAGAAGGAAAATCAGAGTGAACATTGCACTCATCCCAGGGAAGGACTGGAGATGCTGACAGCTCTCTCTGACACCTCACTTCACCACAATCACCAGCCTTAGGACCCAAAGGAGCAGGGAAAGAGCGAGCATAACACCAGGAAAATTAATAGAAACTATGTGGGTGCAAAAAATTGAAACTGCAATAATGTTCTTGTTTTTATGCAACCAGCAGACCTAAAGTGATAAAAATTGGAGCCTTGAGAATGCCATTACACTCACAACAAATGCTTGGCTCTACCTGTATGTACATTATACCTCCTCTTTGCCTGTAAAAATGATTTTAATCATAATGTCTCTCTACAGCCCAGAACCAGGGGAGTCTGAGGGTTTAAAATATTGAGATGTTCATTAATCAAGGACCATTCTTGGTCCCTGACCCAAGCATCCTGCTCAGGGTTGCACTGAGTGCAGCTCAGCTGGGATGCTGCAAAGCACATTGCCAGGCACCACTGGGGCACAAAAAGCAGTTCTTCTGGGGTTGAACCGGGCAGGAGGCTGTGCAGTGGGGTGTGTTATGAGAAATAGACACCACGTCCAGCTGGCTGATGTACCAATAGCAGGGACACAAGGAATGTGGTCCTGCAAACATCCCCAGGTACTGCCCCTGCCTCAAACGTCAAAGGAGATTAAAATGCCTTCTCCCCAAAGGCAGACTTGTGCTGTCTTCAGGCAGGCTGACCTAGGTGGGATTTTGGGGGTGGAGAGTATCTTCCAGGTTGCCTGAGCTGCTGTTTGTGGGTTGGCTAGCAGGTTGCCAGGCAAACATCTGCATATAAATTCAGTTCTGGTATTTCTGCCAATTATATTTTGTATTTTTTGCTGTGTTAGGCTTTATCTAGAAAATGTTACATCCCCAACAGCTACTCAGCAATGTAGTTAAGGTCAAACCATAGGCTTCCAACATCAGCCAAATTATGGAACTGATGTCAACCAGGTGGGCCAGGACAAGAACCTGTGGAAATAATCAGGGAACTGGCTCCTGGATAGGTGTTAGCCAGGGACAACAAAGAAACACTGCTGGAAAAAAAAGTTTAAAGGGTAGGAAATTATAAAGGGCCAGAGCAATGGATTTTCAAAACTCACCTTTTTCTCTGACAAGTGCCAGCAGACCCATCCTACCCATTCTTTAAAAACAGATGTAAAGCACTCTGCACTGTTTTCAGGACAACATCAAAAGGCTGGTTTCTCCCCACACCCTGAAAATATGATCTATGACTGCCAAAATTATGAACTTTTTAACTTGCAGAAAGATAATTTCTAATGGATTGTACTAAGGAAATGTTCTCATTGTGTGAGAACCATGAGATTCAGAAACTTGAATGAAGGCTTCCTCAATGCCAGTGATAGTCTGATACTATTAGAGCAGCAATGCACTGTGTGTAGATTGCTGTTATTTAGAGGACACCCAAATCTAAATTTGTCTCCCATGTCCTCAGGGGATGATGAAGGGCTGTGTCCCTCCATCCTCCACCTTCCAGCCTTATAAAGAAAGCACAGATACATAAGTAAGAGCTTCCCCAGTGGGGACCTGCACATGCCAAGCTGGTTTGCTGCTGACCTGTAAAACATAAGCATAACCCAGACAGACTTGGTCACTCTTACCCTGGTGGGCACCTGCTCCTGGATCACCAATACTCTGCACAGTATTTCTGGTGCAGCTCTTTGGAGGCAAAATTCTTGAGAACAGGGGTCAGGACTAACCATACATAACAGCAGGACAGGCTTCTCCAAGCATTGCTTACGTTCTAGCAACAGGATTTTCCTGAAGGTCATCAACCTCTTCCTCCTGTGCTGCCCAGAATTTAACTGGAACTGAGCACAGGGCAGTTATTACCCTCAAAGAGAAATGAGATTTGCCAAATTTTACCCACTCAGGTTTTATCTGGAGACTTCAATTAAAGAGAAACCAAGATAAGTTGACTCACAGAGATCCTCAGCAGGTGTCCCCGGGAGACAGAAAAGGCTTTCTTCTGTATTCTACTGTGAGTGATAAACCTAGATAAGAGTGCTACTCATTATCATGGTGTGCACTCTAGTGCAACATAGACAGATGTGAAACCAATACCACCTGAAAGACAACTGCCACATCAACCATATCTCTGCTCTCCATCTTCAGCCTCTGTTTGCACTCTGGTATTGAGGACAGCTCAGGAATAAAAAATTCTGAGGAAGCTCCTGAAAAGACTTTCATTCTGATCCAGACACAATGGAGGAAAGCATCTTTTGTTTCTCCAAGCTAAAATAAAAAAGACATTGCATCCCTTGTAACCAGAGATTTTTCCTGGGAAGGGCTAGGTACAGTGTGCTGCTTTCCCAACTGGGAGGCACACAATGGTTTTACAGGAAGAAATCAAGAGTAAAGGATGTATGTGCAGGGACACTGTGGGTAAAGAGGGGCAAACACCCTGTTCTTTTTATTCCATCTCCCTCTGAGTAGCCTTCCAAATTTGAAAACTCTCTCAATATCTGGGGAGACCAGAGGTACTTCACACCACTGGCATCTCCTCCTGCTCTGTGGCCAGGCTGCCAGGTCAGGTCGGGGAGGCAGGGTTTTGCAGAGCATCACTGGCAAGTTCAAGCTTTGTGGACTAAAGCACTTGGTAAAGAAATGTCTAACCTGAAGAATCAAAATGCTGTTCTCCCCAGCACACTCTGCTTTTGCTGCCATGGAGGAAAGCCTGATGGTGGTGATTTTCTATGAAACGAGGCTCTCTTGGTTCTCAAGAGTTTCACAGGGGTCTCCTCTGCAGGGCCAATGGGGAACAGTAGTGGCCAGGGGATACCTCCCAGGATGGAGCCCCCGAGTCCTACAAGAGCTCTGTGATGCAGAGCTGCCCTGCATTGCTCAGCAGCATGACACACACCATAGCCGTGACTGCACTGGCCCCTGCTGGGCATTTTTTTTCTTAATGCCTCCAAAATTCTCATCTTTTCTGTCAGCTGGGTAGAGGTGCTTCTGCATCCCTGCCACCTTGGTATCCTTGTTCCTCCCATGCTGTCCTGCAGCAGAGCCCACCTGGCAGCTTTTGGTGCAGATATGAGCACCAATTGCTCACACACAGACACACAGAAAAATCACAGAAATCATTTCTGTGCCTCACTTTTGAGAGAAAACCCAGCAGAGAGAGCCTCATTCCTTCATGCCACTGTTCTGCAGAGATGCAACCAGACAACTGAGCTCTGGTGTCTTTCCAGCCACCAGTGGGAGATGCATTTATTCTGCATTAAAAAGATGGGGATGCAGAAATTACCCAGAGTGAGGAAGAGAGAAGTTATGTCTAGGGCTGAAAATGTTTCATCCTGAGGGCTGCTGAAGGGAAGAGCCACAGAAAGGTGAAGGTTTGCAAAGTTTTTACAAGCAGAAGGAGCATGGCTTGAACAGATATCAAAAATTAAGAGAAACATTTATTCCCATATTAGAATGTCACAAAAGGGATAAGGGCATTGAAACAGTTTAGTGCTTAGGCTCACTTATGCCTTGGTGACCCCATTGTGTTCCTGAGCTCCAGCTGTCACACAAATATGGTGCTGTCCTGCCCTGGAGAGGTGGCAGAGGCTCAGCCAGGTCTCCTTCAGAGGTGTCCTCCTCCCCTGGAAGGTGATATGCCTGCGAGTTGCTCGGACCTGCCTGTTTCAGGGTGTACCTGATCACTCAGAGTGCATCGTGAGGCTGCCCTGCTTGTGAGATCAGCTCCAACAGTAACAGCAAGACCCAAGAAAGATGGAAAGAATCCTTTGGCTGGGCAATCACATCCCTTCCCTCCCAGGCTCATCCAGGCAGGAGGAATGGCTGCAACGCCACAATCCAGCAAGCTGCTGTTCAAAATGCTGAATAAAGAAATGCCTTTCCTCCCTCCTTTCCTTCCCACCCCCCCATCCCCCTTGTGCTACTTGTGAGAGCTGAAGCTGTTGGGAACGTTTGCATCAGCAGCACCCCTCTCTCTGCAGGGCTGCCGCTGAGCACAGGTCAGGGCCGTGTGGTGCTGGGGACACCAAGATGTGCAGGGATGGTGGTGCAAGATGTGCACGGGTACAGACACAGATGCAGACATTAGGAGAGAGGAGAGTGGAAAAACTGCCTGCCTTGCAATGGACAAAAGACCCAAGGAAACCATCCAACATTGCTCTTTGCTCTCAGCCCAGTTGGATACCTGAGCATTAGGGAGCAAGACCCATTTCCTCTACTCCTTGTATAGGAAAGGCAGCTGGTTTGCAAACGTTTCTTGCTACACAGATCTCTTTACCTTGCTGAGTGCTGCAGTCAAGGTTAGTGCTGACTCAAACACCAAGGACAATCAATACTTTTGCAATGTGGTGGCAGTGTCTGTGTTAGGCCAGGGCTGTGTCCTTCCTTCTGTCCATCCTCACATTCTGCATACACAGTCACACCTTCTCTGAACTCAGGCATGTGGAGGATCACAGAGACTGCACATCCTCCAACGGTGCCAGGTGAAGAAAGGGATGAATGTCTTGGCAATGCAGACCACACATTCATTATCGTTAGTGGGAAATCTGCCCGGATATCGGAGCATGATGAGGAAAAATATTTACTGGGGTGACACAGCAGACACTGCTGTTTGCTTGGCGGTACTTTTCTCTTGCATAGAGCTCATCCGACATGGTAAGTCTGACCCAGCTGCTGACGCCAGCATTACACTGGCTGCACTGACTGCTGGAAAGCACAGCAGACCTACAGGGACACCCAGCAGCCCGGAGAGCTGTGTGGGGTCAGAATGAGGCACACGTCAGCAGAGGCTGTAGGAACCCAAACCAGTGCTGTTCTGAGGTGGGGATTTCTGTGATCTGTCTGTACATTTTGGCATTTCAGCCAAGTCAGCAGAAACAGATTTACCTAGAGCAGAAGCACACTACTCAGAAGTCATGCGTCAGAACTGACACAGTACAGTAGCAGCTTTGCTTTGCCCAGCATTACTTGCTGCCTTTAAGGGACATTAACATTTAAAGTATATTAACCAAATATGATTATCAGCCCACACATTACAGTTAAACCTGACCTATTCGGACTAAAGTTATAATTGCCTTTCAATTTACCAAACTATTTTTACATCTGGGTAAAATACCTAAAGTCATGGGGGGTTTTTTCTGTCATGAGACACCTTTCTGGATCCTCTTCTGGCACAGTCAGTAATTTCCATGCTGCTTCAGAATTGGTATATAACTGGAATACATACATATGTATATTATAATAAGTGTTTGAAAGAGGCTGAAAATAAAACAGGATGAATATGATACAATTAACCTGGGGAGTTGGGCTTGAATAGCTTAATGCATGCTAATGCAGGCCCATCCCCGTACAGGAGCGTCCTTCAGCTAAGAGTGGGACACAAATACCCTTCATTAACCTTTCTTTTCTCCCTCTTTAAAGTTTTACCTGGTTTTGACCAACAGGTGTAGCTGGATGTTACCACAGCAGAAAGAGGCAGAGTTGTGCTGCTGGCTGGCAGACCTCCTCCAGAAGGCACTGAGTCAGTCCCATCCTCATCCCCAGACTCCATGCACTAGCCTGAACAAGTGAGCTGAAGGCCAGAGATTCTGCCAAGGACTTAATAAGTTTGTATCCATGTTGCCTTGGGAAGAAGGCTTCAACACAATGCCAGAAAAAGCTAGATATGGACTACTTTCTTACTCCAGGATACTGTTTTGGGACAAGAGACTATGATTACCTGTGCTAAAGTAGCAGTCCTGCAGCTCAGAGCTGAGATGAGGAACAATCTGCTAAGTCCCACTTCACACTGTTTTCTGAGGGATCTAGCAACATCATGGCATGTCCTCATACATTCCTCTTTTTGCTGCTGTAGTTGAACACCATGGTCCTTAAACATACCCATACAACAGCTGCACATGTTTGCACAGTGTGGCAAGTGATGAACACCCTTGATGCCACTGCAGTGCTCCAGCCTGTCAAGGCCTTTCCATCCAGACATTCAGAGAGCATCATGAGTGACATCAGACAAAGTCTCCATCTTTCTAAGAGACCTCCTGTAGAAGGGACACTCTGGTGCAAGTAACACCAGTAAATCAAAAGAAAACAAGTATGTATTTTAGGTTTAAGCTTGAATGTGGGTAAAAAGTTACTCTGGTCTCTGTTTTAAGATGATGTGCTGAAGCCAGAACAAAATTCTATCTGACTGTTTCATGTGCCAACATGATCCTAAATCTTCTTTAACCTGCATCATCTCAGCAAAAAGAAAAAGCAAGGTCAGGACACGAAGGTAAGCAGCAGATATAAGCAGGAGCAGTGTAACAGCTGTGGTGGGACACCTGTGGTGGGTACCTTTTATACAAGTAGGTGAATGGGCACTGGGGCTTTGCAGGATGTTTTAGCCTCAGCTTCTTGTGGTCTCTGCTCTTGGGAAAACCCTAAAATTTGGCATTTTCCTCAAGCTGTCTGTAAGCTTGCACAGATACAGGAAGATGTTTTCTGCTCTCAATGCCCTCACAGGCACTGGAAGGGCAGCAGACTGCTCTAGGCTTGTCCCTTCAGAAAGCAGAGGAGCTCTGTGACCTACAGGGATGCTTCTGGCGGGCCAGAGCAACACAGGGTAGCTCTTACCAGCCAAGCACTCTCCGGATGTGGCTCTCACCTTCTCCCTTTGCACAGGAAGGCAGCAATACCAGCTTAAAGCAGTTGGCCAGTTATAAGAAGTTGAGGCCAGGTCCAACTCAGAGCTCCTGGTGTTGCTGATAAAACAGAAGCCAGCTGCCTCTGACAGAAAACCCCTTTAAGCTGCAGAAAGCATCTCCTGCCTCCTTGCTTGGAGGTTGTTGGCTTTATGGGTGGTGTTGAGGCAAAAGCAAGGCAGGATGTCCTCCAATGAGAGCTCGAGAAGTGAAAGACTTTGCAAAGAAGGCTCTGTATGTTTAAGCTACCCTCATGCCACTGGGTTACAAGCCTTGTGGGGAACCCTGGGTCACAGCCTCACTCCAACAGCTACACAACAGCAAGCAATGAAACCTCTGAGCAGAGGGAGATGTCCCCTAGCAGAATGCTCAGCAACCAGAGAAAGGCCATCATCATCTTGCCAGCTTGGGCAAATGGGCTCCAGCACCTGTCCCAAAGCAGTCACACAAGGGATACAGGGTAAGGCTGTTGAGGCTGGAGAAATCATTCCCATGTCCTGTGCTTCAGCTGAGTGAATTGTGCTTTAGAGGGCTCATGCTGTGAATCTGCTGGGGAGAGCCATCCTTTTGCCCACCACCCTTTGGCTTTGCCCCTGAATTTTTGTGAAACACCTTCTAGAGAACCTGAGGGTTTGCATATCTAAAAATAGCCTGGCTTGCAATAAGGCACCTGAAAGGTAGAGACTGTACTGCTGCGCCAGGCAGTGATCCTGCTGCTGGGAGCCAGGCAGCAGCTGAATTGAAGAGGAGGCAGCTGGGAAGGCTATGAGTTGTGTAGCTCTGTTCAGGACAGAATAAAATGCAGATGCTGACACAAATAATGATGAAACAGGTTCCTCAGGTGTAAAGATTGTGCAATTACAGTGCACAAAGTAACTTTATTATAAAACTTGAAATACGGTTATATCTTGTAGGGACAAACAGAAGAGAACAAAAAGCTTCAGAAAACCATTGCACTTATCTAACAATATTTGTACATATAAAAGTATATGTATGTATACATATGGGTATATGTGTATTTGTGTATATATACACACATGGGCAAGTATAGATATGCATCTGTATGTGCATACCTCTACATACATAGATGCATCTGTACGAACGGGTAGCCATTCACCTACATAAAATCAGTCATTCCAAGCTGGAACAGTAACTGGAATGTCAACCCCAGCCGCCTGCTCAAGACCAGTGACCACACTGGCACACCAGCTGCCAGTTCAAAAAGTTAAAAAATGTTCAGAAAGTCCCCTGAAGGGGACGTGTGATAGCTCACACCCACTACTTCAGCCCTTTTCCTGGTAACAATTTCTCCATCCATTCCTACAGCACTCGTTCATTCCTGTAGGGATTGCCCCTTGACATCCACAGTATTTGTAAGTGTTTGTAAGCTACAGCTTCAAACCCTTGCAGACAAGAAGCTGCAGGCCCTTGTAGCAGATGGGGAGTCAGGATTTTACCAAAACACATGGACAGCATTTATTTCTTGGTTGCTTATCCGATTACTCACTCACTAAGCTTTTCTAGGGCTGGAAGCATTGTTCAGATCTGTCAACTGGGAGCCAGGCCCTGGCATGACACCTTAATCTTGGGCACCATTTCCCTCCAAAGAGCAGGTTCCCACTCCTGCTGAGAGTCCCATCCCTGCTCACAAAGCCAACACACTCTGCTGAGACAGGGGAAGGAGTGGCCAAGTGTCCAGGGTTTGGAAACATTAACAGCTCTTTTTAGTACTGAGTCTGAAGTGGGGAGGGTATGTTTCTAAGATACCTCTCTGTGCTGCTCTGGCAGTGTGGGAATCTGCCGGTAATTTCACAAAGCAAGCAAGGTGGGATGTGCCTAGGGAAAGGAAGGATGATTAAAAAAAAAAAACAAACAGAAAAACCAAAAAACCAAAAAACAAACCTCTAAAAAAGTGAGAACACCAAAAGCAACCGCGATAAAAGGAAAAACAAACAGGGGCTTCCACTTTTCAGGTCCAAAAAGGTTGCTCAAACAGTCCGTGGCTGTGGATGCCCAGTTCTAGGTCACCTGTCCATGATGATAGTTTTGGACTTGTAGTTCTACAAGACAGTGCCAACAGAAGACAACTGTGAGGACTTTGTGTGCAGAGAGGAGTGCTTGTCCAGGCTGCGCCCACTGAAAGCCTTGTAGCCTTTGCAGTTCAACAGAAAACATGCAGATTTTTTGAAAGCGTCACAGAGATGCTTCTTGAACTTCTCACCCACGAAAGCATAGATGACAGGGTTGAGGCAGCAGTGGACAAAGGAGAGTGCCTCAGTCAGCTCCATGGCTAGGTCTAGGCTTTGGTGTGTCTGGCAGTTATCAATGATGGACATGTTCCTCAGAGAGTCCAAAAAAAGCACAATATTGACAGGAGTCCAGGAGACAAAGAACACAATGACAACAATAAAAACCAGTTTTATTGCTTTGTACTTGTTCTTGGTATGGCACTTCTGCAGGTTTTTCAAGATGCTGTGATAGCAGAAAATTAGGACAATAATAGGGATTAGCCACCCCAAGATGTTGACTTCAAAATTACTGAAAGTCTTCCAGAAATTGTTGCCATCAGGATAGTGACGGAGGCATATAATCTGGTTATTGTCATTCGCTTCCTGGAAAAAAAGTAAGTCTGGTATTGATGCTAAAATGGCAACTGCCCAAACGACCAGACTGGTGATAAACCCAATGGCAGTTGTCCGAATCCCTTGAACATGAAGAGAGTGGACTATGGCCAAGTACCTGTCAATGCTCATGATGGTTATGAAGAAGACATTGCTGTAGAAACCAATGAAGTAAACTGAGCTGATGATTTTACACAATGCATTTCCAAAAGTCCACTGGCTCACAATGGAGTACTGAACCAAGAAGGGCAGGGAGAATACCAAGAGGAGGTCGGAGAGAGTCAGATTCAGCAGATACACATCAGTCATGGTCTTGATTTTCATGAAGACTGTCAGAATCCAAACAACCAAAGCATTTCCCACAAGGCCTAACAAAAACAGTATGGAGTACAGCAGTGGAAATAAGGTAGATGCAAATGCTGGAATACTTTCAGGATGGCAGATGACGTATAGTTCTGAGTAGTCGAAGGCATATTCATAGGCTGCAGAGGAGTTAGGTGTTGGTGATGTGTGACTCACCTGTTCAAGGACAATGAAATTTGTATGAGCTAAATCCCACATTAGTAGATATACGAGGCAAGAGTCAGCTCACACCAAGCTGCATGAGGACAAAAGAGGTGTGCCACAGCTGTGGTATAAGATGCAAATGAGGAATGAACACAAGTGACTGGCCATCCCCTGCAAGACCCAGAATGAGATCCTTGCATTACAGGGGCAGAGGAGATCAAAGAAAATGCAGCTGTGGTGATAGAGGTTACCAGCATCCTGCTGCTGTCTCCATGTGGGGCCATGGCCCATGCCCGAGTCCAGGTGCGGCACCAGGGCCAGAGACAGGGAGCATCCTCAAACCAGCAATGACATGGGCATGGCCAGGAGACTGAGAGCCCCTGGTATGGGTTTGGGGTCCTATTTTATGTTTCCTTCTGAAAGGAGAAAGGGAGGAGGGCCCAGGGAGAAACTGACACATTAACCCTCATCTCCTAAAAGCTTTGTTTCCAATTAGCTGAGTGCCAGAAACGGGATACACCAGCGGCAGTGACATGCCCCCTTCCTGCTCACCAGCCCCCTGCAGCTCACCCACCCCCCAGCAGCAGCCACCGCATCTCTGGGCAGTACTTGTGACAGCAAACAGTTAAAGAAGATGGATAGCAGCATCCCTGTCAGGATGTCCTCCATAGGACACTCCTAGCACTACCTCTGCCCTCAAGGACAGTCTTCTTCCACAAGCGTAATATCATCAGCTAAAGATATTTTCACCCTGTGTTTTGGTTTCTTTCCAGAGAACAACAATCACACTGATTTCTTCTAAATCCCCATCATCTCCACCCCCATAGGGTAACATAGGGGGTGCCCCTACATTACATAGGTTACATAGGTACTGTGCCCCCATAGGAAAAGCTGGACCCCTAAGATGTGCTACGCCCTTGCTTGCAGGAGAGCAACCCAGCAGGGAGTGACTCACCAATATGTCATCAGAGCCACCGCTGCCCAGCAGGTATGTCAAATTCTGTTCCATAATCCAACACTGTGTCTGAAAAAGTGCAAAAGAACTGTCTTTGTATCACATATTTTTAAGAAGCAGGCATAGCTTTGTGTATATAGGCTGGCAATATTTACCTCAGCTTATGCTGCAATGCCAAGTCACAGGTAAGATCCTTACTGTAGCAGTATGCAGTCCTAAAATAGCTTTTCGTCTGTGCGACCTCTGTTAAAGATATACGAAACCCCAAGCCAGTGAGTTCAGCCTCTGTACTTTAACACTTTCTGAACGGAAATGCCACCTTTTATCTTCTGTCTGATCACAACGTTTTCGTTTTGAGCCCTTATGTCCTTCAGGGGAAGAGATCTGCAATTTCCCGCACGTCTTTGAAATGTTTCTGTCTCCAACCTTTCCCACCTGCGTGCCCTGTCCCAAATGCTGTCCCTGCTCTGCAGTTCCAGTGTCTAGGAGAGACAAGGTAGTCTGTCTCCTCTGTTCCAAGGACTTTTGGTGAAGATGGCTGAAGGGGATGGTCCAATGCTGCCAATAGCCACTGATGGCAAAAGGCCTCATGTTTGCTTTAACATTTCATTTTTCCTTGGAAGGCACCTTCCCCCTGCACCCACCCAAGCACAGACAAGAATACCTAAGGGAAATGATCATAGAATCATAGCCATTTAGGTTGGAAAAAGCATTTAAGATCATTGAGTCCAACAGTAATCTTAACACTGCCAAGTAGATTTGAATGTTTCTTCCCAGAACACACATACTGCAGGATGGTCTCACAGACTAACACTGAAGTAAAACCCTAAACAGCACTGAATTCCCACCTCTTCTACCACATACCTACAGTGACCTCATCCAGACCCAACACAGCTTCCATCCCACAGCTATCTCCAGTCTTACCCACAACACAAGATACAGGGGAAAGAACAGCACTACTGAGCAACAGATAACATTAGAAGTGTGTGTTATCTCCTTAAATACTGCTTCTCCTCACTAGAGCTTGATGCCATTACTGAAATTTGGGCAAGTCACATCACCTTTTTGTTCATTTTAGAACAAACAGCACCTCACTGGGCATCATTCCACAGATGTGCTGCTAGAGATCCCCATGTGGAATGGTCTGTTGTCTTTCTCAAACCTTTTGGATGTTCACCTTCACTCACCATCACTCCACAGGCAGAGGGATAAATTTCTGGGAACCAAGAAAATCTGCAACTATTGCATGTGTGGCAGTGGATGGTTTTCCTTGGCAGTGGTGGGCAGTGTGACATTTGGGCAAACTTTTGCATGTGAGTCCAGCCATGACAGACAAGCTCTGCTGGGCCTTAACCCTTAAAATACCTGAAACTAGGAATTAAAACCACAAACAAACTCTTCTGTTACAGGCAGAGTTACTGGAAGTTGTTGTAATATATCAGCTGAGACTCCATTTTCCTAATGCAGGAAGAGCCCATTCTTTATTCAGACAACTCATTTTACATAGTTTTTACAGACCTTGTGTGAGACTTTAATTGGTTAATAGCTTTCTTGCCAATTACTCTATTGGTTAGTAAAAGGTATTTTACTTGTCCATCAAATCTCTCTATTCTTGATATTTTTTACATATTTTTCAGTGATTCTCATGGGACAAATCCATTGTTTACCCAGGCGCAGTTGTTTTTCACACAGGAATAGTTTGTTGTTTTAACAAACTCTCATTCCCAAGACTGTTTTCACATAGGATCTTGCAAACCACTTAGCTGCATTTAGAAGAAGTGACAAGCCAGCTGTTAATAAGGCCTGATTTAATGAGGCCTTTCTTTTATAATTCTACCTGTCTACAACATCACTTGCTGGCAGTGTTGAAGCCTGATCTCCACTGCCCTTATGCAGGTTTAAAATGGCATTGATCACTCTGTTGCTGCTAAAATGGCAAAGAATAGAACCAGGAATTATTCAATGTGGAAAAAGACATGTCCACCAAATGGGAATTTGGCAGCTCCGTGCCTCTCCTCTTTCATCTCCTAAATGGAGATGATAGGCTATCAGAGCACAAGGACAGCCACATGAAGAGACGCGGCTCCCTCTGCTGGGCATTCCTGCAGAACTGAGGTACATCCCTGCAGAGATGTGTGTGATCAGCGGTGCTGTTTCACCTCCTCATTTATCATTTCTTCCTTATTTTAAGGAAGAAAACGCTTCCACAGCAAGATAAGAACCTAGAGACTGCTGTTGCTTCCAGGGGTTCATGCTGGATGAGCTCTTTCTTGGGATGCATGCCATTTGCCCAATATTGTTGCAGCCCATTTTGCTTCGGAAAACTGTAAAAACGTCAATTGTTGCTCCACCCAAAGATATGGAGGGAGAGGATCTAGCCACACCATCCCCAGCTCCATATAGAAACATTTCAAATGCATCACTTGAGTTTGTCTGCCTTACTAGAGTTAAGCTTACTTCTCTAAACTATCTACTCACCCAGTCCCATTCCAAAGAGCCAGAAACACGCCAAAAGAAATAGCCAAAGGGGCTTTCTCAAAATGACATGTATATCTCAGACAGCTTCCTTATCTAATCAATTGTATAACAGGTGATGATGCATTAGGTTTACATGGCAAGGTTTTAGTAACAAGGGGGCTGCAGGGCTGCCTTATGTGAGAAGGCGCCAGAATTTGCTGCTGTGGTGGTAGTAGCCAGTTCCAGCCAATTCCAATAAGCTGAGCCCATTGGTGATATGGGCAGTGCCTCTGTGATTAGAAACACTGTGCAACAGCGGCTGTGAGAGAGTGAGAATATGTGAGGGGAATGTCCTGCAGAGTCCACAATCAGTGAAGATGGAGGAGAAAAAGGAACTTCAGGCAGTGGAGCAGATTTCCATGCAGCCTGTGATGATGCCTGTTGTCCCTGTGTTGGTGCACAGTGGAGCAAGACATGACATAGGGAAAGAAGCACCAGGAGGGAAGGGGATGAGCTGATCTTCTTTGCCATGAGTCAGCAGGCAAAGTAAGTTAATGAAATAAAAGGCACTCACTCACCCAGGCAGGAAACTGCTTAAGAAGAGAGGAGCTTGCAAAAGGGAAGAGGGAATTCATAACGAGGTACTTTTGCCAGCCTGTGCATGACATTTTCTCAGAGAAGTATGTTTTCTCTTTCTTCCAGGGCTGCCACAAGGCAAAGTGAGCACAGGAGAGGAAGTGGTTTGTGCATAATGGCTACTGCTTCACACATGGTTTTCCTTCTAGGAACAGCTGTAGCATGACATTCTGGACGTATCAACCCTTACTTGGCCAAGGCACGGCAAGCAGGCAATTCTTAGAAAAAGCAGCTTGCCAAAGCCGTAACTTGCTCCTCCCAGTTCCTCCAGTTTTGTTGTTGATAAGCAGTGTCTGGCTTTGCAGGCAAAGTCAAGCCACAGCTCAGGGCTGACACAGGTCTAATACTGAAACAACTGATTCTGGTGCCTCACTTCTTCAATGCTCTGGAAAGCCAGCCTTCCTCTGGTCTGGGCCCAGGATCTGGATGAGCAAGTGGAGACACTAGCAATAGCGGTAAGGACATATCAGTGTGCATCTCAGGTTTTGAACAACATGGTATCCGTAAGAAGCTGGTTTTGTGGGGAAGTGGGAGGTGTGAGCTGACACGAAAGCTGTCAGTTACGAACTGACCCTTCCCACTGCTCATGTCTGACCAAGCGTGCTGGGGCTCAGTTGCTGGATACAGCACACAGCGCTAGGAAATAGAGTACAGTTGCTAGAACTGAGTACAATTCGGGTGTCCCCAACTTCAGGCCATGGAACTGTTGGAGAAAGTCCAGATGAGGCCACAAAGTTGATCCGAGGACTGGAGCACCTGCTCTGTGAAGACAAGCTGAGAGCACTGGGGCTCTTCAGCTTGGAGAAGAAAAGGTTGTGTTGACATCCCATAGCAGCCTTCTGGCATATGGAAGGGGGCCTACAGGGAAGCCAGAGAGGGACTCTTCGTCAGGAATTGCAGTGATAGGACAGGGAGCAGAGGGCATAAACTTTAAGAGAGGAAATTTAGATTAGATATTAGAAAGAATTTTTTTCTCTGTGAGGGCGGCGAGAGACTGGAACAGGTTGTCCACCCCTGGCAGCGTTCAAAGCACATTGGATGGAGCCTTGAGCAATGTGGTCTAGCGAGAGGTGTCCCGTAGCGGAGAGGCCGGCCCTAGATGAACTTCCAAGATTCATTTCAACCCCTTAACGTGCTGCGATTCTCTGTAGAACGTCCAAAAGCCGTGACCAATACGCGGTCCGGGTGCAGAGGCGGCTGCAGGAGAGCCGGCTAGGGGCGGGTATGCGCCGCTCGCCCCCCGGCCCCCAGCCCGGCCACCGCGACGGAGCGAGGCCTCAGCGGGCGAAGGGTTACGGGAGCCGCATGCGCCGGGCGGGGCGGTGCTTCGGAGCGGGGCCGGCTGGGGGCTGGGCTGCACCGGCTCGGCTCGGGGCTGGGCCTCGCCGCCGCCCGCCGCGCTCTGGAGCTGCGGGCGGCGCTGGGATGCCGGGCCGGGAGGCGGAGGTACGGCTGGGCCGGGCTGAGCCGGGCCCTCCTCGCTGGCTCTGCCGAGGAGAGCCCGGGGCAGCGCCCCGGTGGGAGGCTAGGGGCGGCTCGCTGCGCCCCTTACGCTGCTGCGTCGCGTTCCGCGGCCTCGGGGCAGCGGGGAACGGGGAGCCAGCCCCAGCCCCGTGACCGTGGGTCCGGGTGGACTTGGGGGGAGCCATTGCTGGCTTGGAGTGTGCCCCACGCTGCATCTCATCTGTCGGTGTCTAATCTGTTGTGGTTCTGCTGCGCCGAGGGGCGCAGAAACTCCTTCTCCATTGCCAAACACCGTTATATGTTTATAATATCAAAAAACCCTCTCGGAACACCAAAAAAATCTTCACCCTGCCGCGGGCTTTGTGCCTCGTGCGTTATTATTTCCCGAGAAGTGCCGGCGGGGGCAGGCGCTGTGGATAGGAAAGGCAGCCTCAGCTGAGCAGGCCGTGCAGTGCTTTGAGCCAGGCTTGGGTCTGGGCTGCGTCCCCGCAGTGCCCGCGGCCGCGGGGGGAACGTGGTGTGCACGGGGGAGGGGAGAGATGGAGCTGCTGCCAGCACAGGTGGGTGGGACTGCGGCAAAGGTGCCGGTGGGTGGGGGACACCTATTTCCTTTGCCGCGGCAAATGGTAACCAAACAGCTGCTAGTACATTTGATGTTCAGAAAACTCCCACCGCCTAATTTCAAGGAGGTTCTGGAACATTCTCCCAGATAAAGCAGAGGGACGAAAAACCACGACTAAAACTCGATCAGCCTCAGAAAAGGTCTGGAAAAGCTTCTTGTGCCCTAAGCAGCTGTCCTTAGTATCTGGGGTCAGCTCACCTTTCTTACTGTAACATGTGATGTTCCTTTTGAAACATTTTGTATCTTTTTTGTAATATAAATAAAAAAGTATTTCCTTTTGTACCACTCTTAATTAACTGGTCATTTAAAGTTCTATTCTTCCTCTTCCAGATGCATCCAGTCCTAAAGGCCTTTGTGTGCGGCTCCATCAGTGGCACTTGTTCCACGCTCCTCTTCCAACCCCTTGACCTGCTGAAAACCCGCCTGCAAACTCTGCAGCCTGCTGTGAATGGGTGAGAGGAGGGGGATGTGTCGGCGTGGGGGGCCTGGAGGTGCTCTGCTATAGGCTTCTGCCTTGTGTGCTGACTTGGGCTTGGAGTTCAGAGTTGTAATTTGGGAAATCAGTCTTTCTAAAAGAGGAGGCATGTTTTTATATTACGGAGAAGGGTTGTTATTTTGCTCCAGAAGAGCAAAAATGTCTGAGGTTATGAATGCTACTGGAATAACTTGTAACCTCAACATTTGTTCTCATTGAGAGACTGGTGTTTGCTGGAGTGGCTACCGTGCAGTTTCATGGGGTATCCTCTGCCTGAAAAAAAATCCTGTATGGTTGTCAGATAATTTCTCATGTGTGCAGCTTGGTGTAGTCAACCTACAATCTGTTGCTGCTAACAAAGGGAATGAGCAACTAAAAATGGTAATGGGTGTTACAAGTTATGAGATACAGAAGCCCTGGAAAGACTGACCAAGAAAAGCAGACTGAAATGAGGAAGAATACCTTGGAGGTGCTGAGTTAATGCACAGAGATATGAGTGAAAAAGGGTGGCTGTGGAGTACATCTGCCAAGGAGCAGAAGCAGGTAATTTCTTCAGTTCCTGTCTTGTCTTTCTTTCAGGTCTGGTCGTGCTGGGATGGTAACGCTGCTCTTTAGGGTTGTTCGTACTGAGAGTATTCTGGGGCTCTGGAAAGGTGTCTCTGCAGTAAGTGGCTGGCTTAACTCTGACTTGTAAGAATAAGTAGATAAATAAACTTACTGTTTATTGCTAATTATGCCTGCCTGAATTTAAATAGCCAACTCTTGTACAATTATGAATGAAACCACATGATTTAGATTACATCCTATTTTAAGGAGTTAATGTTGTGAATTTCACTGATATGGTTACAGTGGTCCTGAGCAGCTGAACACTGAAATACTTTTGCAAATGTAGCATGACAACTGGAGGAACTTCATCATTGGTTTGGAATATCTTGTTCCTAGAAAACTGCCATTGAGGAATGCATTAAATTCTGGCATCATTTGAATCACTTCTCTGTCAGTGCTGTAAATTATTTCTACCTTATCTTCCTTCCTTGACATGTTGTTAGCTTTAGTGATATTTTTGTCTTCTGCAAAACTTCCTGTCAAGTTTAACAGTCTCAGAAAATTTCTATAGTGTATTTTGTCTTATGTAAGCTTTTTCTTTCTTCATCTGCTTCTGTTTCTTCTGAAGTCTTTTGCAAGATGTATTCCTGGAGTTGGGATTTACTTCAGCACTTTGTACACGATGAAGCAAAAGTTTCTTGTGGACCGTTCACCCACTGCCCTGGAGTCTGTCTTTCTGGGTGCCACCGCTCGTGCAGTTTCTGGGATTTGCATGTTGCCAGTGACTGTAGTGAAAACCCGATATGAGGTAAGACTTTCCAATTAGTTCCCTGTTAATGGTGTCACAGACCTTCCTTGTGATGCAAAATAAATCCTTCTGCCTGGAGAAGGTTGCTGCCACTTGGGTACAGCCAGGAATGTAGTCCTGATAGTAGCCACCTTAGTTCACACATTGTGCAGGATATTATATTTAGGCAAGAATTCACCCTAAGATTTATAAGTTTCAGTTGTATACAATGTTTGTGTAGCATCTTTCATATGTTAGCTTCCTGAAGGATTCTTTTAAAAGCTGAGGTAGGTGAAACCCAGTTTTTGCCTTGGGTTGTCCTGTGTGTTGCCATTTATTTGGATATTGTATCCGCAGGGTGTGTGTAGGGCTCCTCGACCTCTGCCTGGCATATGGATGACTAACCTTTTTCTGCTCTTGCAGAGTGGAAGATTTGGCTATGGGAGTGTGTATGGAGCTCTGAAGAATATCTATCAGACCGAAGGGACTCGTGGCATGTTCAGTGGGCTCACGGCAACGCTGCTGCGGGATGCGCCCTTCTCTGGCATCTACCTGATGTTCTACACACAGACCAAAAACCTCACACCGCAGGGTGAGGCTGAATGTTGGAGGCTGAAGTGGAAAATGTTCCTCTTCTCAGATCTTGCCCCGCAGCTGACAGCCTGCATGCTCTGCTTGTTGCTCCCCACCTCAGAAGTTAAATTAGTCTCCTGTAGGGCTTTGGGTCACACACTCACGTTTGCCTATGGAGAACTGTAGACCTATAGCTGAGGTCCATGCAGAAATGGAGACTGCCCCTAAACTGATCAATTGTCTTCACGAAGACTGATGCATAAATGGGTTAGTGAACAGTTGAAAGACAGGGTGTCTTAAGCACGGCTTGCTGCTTCTGCTTGTCGTGCATACTGCTCAGTTTCTGCTAAACTGCGGCTTCTCCGATATTGGAACTCACTGGGGCAACATTTATACAATTTTTTCTTTACTGATTTTCTCTCAAATTCGGTTCCCCAGCAAGTGAGGCTTTTCAATAGTGCTAACTTTTGGCTAGTAGCCACTTTTCTCCTTGAAAGGTTTCTCTAGCTGCATGGATCTTAACTTCTCTTAGACTCTGGTGCTGATTTAATCATTCAATAGCTTTCACTTTGTCACGCAGCATGAGTGTTCCTGGCCTAAATGGGGTCTGAGTGTGTTCCTTTTGCTGTCTTGCAGACCAGTTGGATCCAATGCTCGTGCCCTTGCTGAATTTTGGCTGTGGGATCTTTGCGGGAATCTTGGCCTCTCTGGCAACGCAGCCTGCTGATGTCATCAAAACACACATGCAGCTGTCACCTCAAAAGTACCACAGGACTAGCCAGGCCATTGCTTTTATCTACAAGGTGAGGTGAATCTCTTCTGATATGCACAACCGCATCCTCAATTCTGATCCCCTTGCTCAAAGCACAGCTATGCCGGGGAAGCTGTTGCCTTTTAAAGGAGGTGAACAAGTGTCAGTGCTTCATCTGCTCTTGCAGTTGGACAATTCAGTGTCGGCATTTTCAAGATGATGAAGAGGGTCATGCTGTGGTAGACCAAGACTATAGAGTGCAGTGGGAAATGCTGGTTTCAGATACAAGCCATCTACAAAATAATTATTTGTACTTTAGACATCAGAAGATAAATAAATGCCCAGGTCTTTATCCCAGGAATGCAATGGAGAAGTAGTCAAAGCTTACCTTTCCCTTTCTGCTGTGAGAAAGGCAGATCTTGGCAGATTCACTCTGTTTCCATATTGAACACTATTCCTAAGCAGTAATCTGTTTATTTGTGTATGCATTTTTATGTATGTTTTTTTCTCAAATCATAATGTTTTTTTACTTCAGTGCTTAGAAATCTCAAGTTTTTACAGAATAGCTAAGAGACTTTTGTAAATATGAAGCTCTAAAACAAAGACTAGTAGTTCTCCTTGTAGTGTCTGGAAATGATTGCACCCTTTCCTTCTCTTTGTTGGACTTGAATGTGGCTTTCCCCATCTGTTGTCTCCATCCTGGCCTTCCTTTTTCCACTTACTGCTCTTCCTGCTTTCCTGGGTAGCCCTTGTTATGAATGATGTTCTATTTTTTCCAATTTATCAAGCAACAAGATTAAATTTAGTAGTAAGTTTTTAATAGTAACAAAATGAATACAATCAAAGTATTGGAGATGACAATTAAAGTATTGGAGATGAAACAATCAAAGTGCATATATTTAAGAATATACAAAATTTGGCAGTAAGTAATTTAGTATAATTGAGGTTCGTATAAAGCATAAGCAAAACCGACCGGGGATACGGGGAGTGGCTCGCCATTCCTCACGTATCAAAGCATCCAGGCTAACAATCTCACTTATATACTGTAGGCTACAGAAGTTTCTAGAAAACTCCTCCTAGTTTCTATTCCTAAAATCTACGTAACTATACTGCACGGCACATGCTCTACTAATGGGTTAGGGGGTCTCTCATCCTTTTGAGGGTCTTATTTCCGATGAAGGCTCATCATCAGTGACCGAGGTGTGACCTGCAGGTAGCGCAGGCGCCCTGTGTGACTGAGCAGATGTTTTCCATAACATGACTCTAATTAAGTCCCATGCTTGGAATCATCCCATTTTTGCCCATTTCAAGGTTGAAGCTGTATTTCTAGATGCTGCTTATCAGACCTCCGTCCTTCTACTATTCTTATCTGACTTTCTTCTAACCTCCTTCTTCGACTCCCAACATCTGGAAGATGTCTTTTATCCTGTCTCACCCATCTCCCCCTTCTCACTCTGTAACAATTGTCTTCTATTGATCTAAATACAATTTTGTTAACATAGTTACAACTTAATTAGCACGAATCACATTTATCACACCCTGCAATAGTGCAATGCTACAGATTCTTCCTAAACACTAAACACTATTTAAGCCTGAGTCTTTCAGAGGCTGCTCTGGGTCTGAGCTGAAATACATCCTTTGTTCTTCTATGTAATAAATGATGAGAAATTAAAACCCTCCAGGCAGATTGAGATGAATTGCTGTTTATCTCCTATTGCAGGACTTTGGGCTGGTTGGCTTTTTCCGAGGTGCTGTGCCCCGAGCCCTCAGGCGCACTCTGATGGCAGCAATGGCATGGACGGTGTATGAACAGATGATGGAAAAAATGGGCTTGAAGTCCTGACTGAGCTGCACGAGAAAGGACCGGCTTCACTCCTTCTCCTGTTTGCTGTGATCAACTGGCGCTGAGAAGTTCCCAGTTCCACAGAGGAATAAGCCTTCCTCAGTCAGGAGGAAGAAAGCCCTTCTGAGACAGGGGATTAGGCCTTTTGGCAAGTAGAGGAAAGGAAGGATTGGATCTTTGCATTGTTTGATCAATGCGTTCCAGAAGGGCTGCACTTGCAGACTGCCATGGGAAATGGCAGGGTTTTCACAGCCTGGTAACTATGCTGAGAAGCCCCTTTTAAAAATAACTCTGTGCTCACCACCTTTATGCAATGAGACAGTATTAGAGCAAAAGCATTTGAGGAGAAAACAGTGATGGCAGAACCTGGCAGTTTCTGCTGGCATGGCCAGAAAGACCACAGTGACCACCATCTGATAAAGATCCTCCTTCCTCATATGCTTCATTCTCACAGGGAAACACTAGGCCCTGATGGGAAACTGGATCTGTCTTGTAATGCTTATATTACAGGAGTGGGTGGAAGAGAAATGAAGTGTAGAGGAAAAGCTACAAATATTGTCTCTGCCATCGCTTTTCTACTGTGGGTGATTACTGAGAAAGTAACTGGAACCACCTTGCTGTGATATGTGTTATTATGTGATTGAGCATCTTAACACTCTTGAAACATCCTTCTGCCTCTACAGCAGAGTTTGCACAGGAATTAAGAAGCATAAGGCACTTTAGAATTGATTGCTACCAAAGTTCAACTTGTTCTCTGAAAAAAAAATGCTGCTGGTCTAACTATAGCAGGAACACTCAAGTGGGTTTTGTTGGGGTTTTTTTATGCAGTTGTCATAGAGACTTACTTGCTTCCTATTCCTTATTTGTTAATCCCTGATCAACACCCTCAAGTGTGGTCGTTAGATGTAGCTTCTAGGGCCATGGCTCATAATGTATAAACATATAATGGAAACAGGCACTTCAGATTTCCCTTGAAACATTGCTGATTGCATGTGGAATATGTTTTGGTTTGGAAAGAAAAGGTTGCTGCTTCTGTAAGCTTTTTCCAAAGTCTGAGCCCTATGGGTTCTTGGCAGTGACCTTTACTTCCCTTAGGGCTCCACACAGACACATTTTCCTGGCTGATCCTTTTCTCTTATCAGGTAGTCCATGTTTGAGTATGCCTGAGTTTAAATACATTTTTCATCCTCTGTGCCTTCTTACTCTTTCCAACTCTTTTACTCAGACCTCACATGTGTGCTGGGTACAGCCTGGTCCCCTTTTCACTTGTGCCTCTGTGATGGGTTGGATCCCTTGCAGCTCTGTTAACATAGCCATGAAGCTGGCTTGGAAGTGTGCATCCTGTCCTGTAGCGTGCCTTGCAGAAAACTTAGCTTTGGCTTATATTTCTTAAATATTTAGGAATATTGCGAATCACTTTAGAACCAGAGAACCTGCCTCTAAATATGAAGATACGACACTGTAGCTGTATGAACAACCACTGCTACTTACCTGTTGTTTTAGAGTGTATTTTGGACAATCACTGCCTGCCCAGGCAACTTCCCAAGCTCAAGAGCAGAGGGGATGTGGGTTGTTAAAAGTGTTCTTTACCAGGTTTCAGCTCCAAGAAGGCTTGATGAATGAAATGTAAGAGGACAGGCTGGAGGCTTGGAAAGTGCTGCCTGTTTTCAGATTCATCCCATCTGTGAGGGGAGACTGGTTTCTGCAGTGCAGGAGTCTCCAAAAATGGTGGTGGAGTGTTCTGTGTGCACGTCTACATGTTAGCAAGAGAGCACTGCATCAAATCAGGCATGTGGCACATTATTTGCTAAATCCTAAATGTGAACACCTGTTCTTTTCTTTTGCTCTTCCTTCTACTCTTAGTGACCAGAACTTGTGAGAGTGCATGAAACCATGGTAACTGCACATCCTGCTTGTTTGCTCTCCTGCACACTACTGACACAGAAAGCTGGAGAACAAGTCTAGGATTGCTGACCTGATGGAAGGTGGCAGTTAGATGAGTTACCTCATTTGTCCTTTATTCCCCTATGTATGGGATCAAACCAACATTGTGCTGGGAGCCTGAATTTATTTGGGGCTTTATAAATCTGGCGTGAGTTAGATCTGCTGATCATCCTGGGCTGTGGTAGCCAAGGGCAGTGTGTGAGGTCATCTGCAAGGTGCTTCACACGTATTTTGTTCCTGATTTAGCAATGGCAAAACAATGAGCAACCTGTGCAGACAAAAACTTAAGCTAATTTTTAAGAGGCAGGCAAGCAAAGAATGCAAGGTAATCTGGAATTAAGTAAGGTCCTCATCAGAAACCTGAATTTTAGAAACATTTTGGTGGCTCTTTTGTCCCTGTACTCCTGCCTGGTCAAGTAACGAAGAAGTAAAGAATTTATTCCCATGTGCTAATGTTTTAAGGTCTACTGTGAGGTTGTTTGTTTGTTTGTTGTAAATCTGGAATCAGGCCTAAAGCAGTGTTAGATTTTTCTTCGGGAAAGTTTTTCCATTCTGCTTTGGTTCTTTGTTATTGGAGTAAAGTGAAAAACTCTGTTTTTTGGCTTGTCGATTCACCTAGGCTCCTCTGAGTTTAAGAAACAGAGAATCTAAACTGCACTGTGTTTCATCTACCATTGGTGCTGCAAATCCAAAAGCTTATCTACCTGTGAGTTGGGAAGAATGAATTCTGTCATGCAAGCTTGTTGTTTGTTTCTCTTTGTTATTTCTTTTGTCGGATGTCATATATGGGGGAAGGGAAAGCCTGAAGTTCTGCTTCCTTCTGTTCTAAAAGCTTTATTATGGTCAGGCATAAGACTGCTTCTCAGCTCTGATCCTTACTGTCCTTCACCCTTTTCCCCTCTTCAAAAACATTCTGTTTCTGAAGTGATTTATTGAAGTTACTCCTTGATAGCTATAGCAAGTCAAGACAATCAGGTGTGTGGATTTGAAGTTTGGATGTATTCCCCCATGAGGTTTAATGCTTCTACATAACAACAAATTGTCACTGTACAGCCAGAAGGTACAGTAAATCAAATAAAAGATGTGGACAGAGGTGCTTAATCACCTACCTGCATCATGCCAGCAATTCAACACTAACAGTCTTGTCAGATAATTTCCAAAGCCATCTTAGCTTGGATTCCAGAGACACTGGTGTGCTCCTTCTGTGCACTTCAGGATTGCAGTTGGATCCCTCTTGGACTGACCTCTGTTGCTGGCAATACACTGTTAGTGATTGTCTCTACTTGCCCCTGCAGCTGTGACTAAGAGCACAGCTGGCTGGCATGTTGGGGCAGGCAGTGTTTAAGTGAGTTGTAAGGACACAAGAGAAATAGTCTGATTATTCATGCTTTAGAAACTTTGTTTCCACTCTTCCTATGTGATGATTTCTTTGGGTTTTTTTCTCTAAATGTCTTAAACAGAACTGGAGCTTGGGAACACTGCATAGGTTTGAGTATTGTGAGTGCTTCTTTGTCTGTATAAAATATTTATGTGAAAAGGTATATTATATGTTTCTATTAAAAACTGATTGCTAAAATGAGGATGTAACCTCTTTAGTGTTTCTTTAAAAAAAACCCAAACAAACCCCAAACCGATTAAATGCACAAGGGGTTGGATGGAATAGAGGCTTAAGAAGGCAAAAGGAGTTTCCCTATAGGACAGGACTGTTGCATGTGTTCAGAGCCCATAAAAGGCAAGGAATATTCTTTTTTTCTGTGGTGTATAATATGCACAGGTTGTGCTAGAACAACCTAAATCAACTTTGCTTAAATGGAAAAAAACACACAGCAGTGGGGAATGTTGTGTTTTACACAGCTTCCTCTGCCTGCCTGCTGTGTGTAAAGACAGATGGCTGTTGAATTCCTGTACTAGCTGGTGAAATACCTGTCTTGAGGACAGTGGGGGTTTAAGCTCTCTGGGGAGAAACTGTTTTTTGTCTCCTGCTGATCAGGTTTTTGCTACTCAGGCAGTTAGATCTCAGCAGGGGATGAGAAATTGTGCCTTGGACACAATTGTCTCCTGCAAGGCATAATGCAAGGGGATGGTGGATTGGTGGGATCTCTTGCTGTCACAGTATGGTCCTGGGATTCACTAACAGGCAGGTTGTGCTAAGCAATACATTGCTGATACTGAGATATGCATCTTCCAGATGTGAAGATCCCAAGCCTCTTCTCTTTTCTTGCTTAAATTATACATTCTCCCATGGAAGAATTTTCATGGAGGGTTATCTGTGTGCAACAGACCTGCCACACAGTGTTGAGGTGCAGCCTTGTGCCAGCTGAACCTGAATTGCTTGTGCAGGTTCCTGATAGCAAGTTAGGCCTGGGCTGGTGCCTGCTCCTGCACACAGGGACCATCGCCTGTGTAGTGGGTGTTGCTATCCATGCTGCTGACAGCTGCCCCAGCTGTGAGAAGAGATAGCAGACAAGCTCCCTAGCCCTTCTGGGTGGTAGAAGGTGGGCAAGATTTAAAGTTTAAAGGCACTGTGGTTGTAACAAGATATTGAGTTACAGATCTCCCTTCCTCATTAAAAATGGGCAAACACTTTTCTTGCTTTCTTAATTTTTAATGAGTTTTGCCACACATAAGCACTAACACCAGCAGAAAAGATTCCTCCTCCCACACAGACACATATATATATATATGTACTTTTGCAAACTCCACGTGGGTTTCTTGAATATACTTATCCCTTCTGGCTTTGGTGCTTATTTCAAAATAGCAAGCTTTTCCATATTGCATTTCCTTAATTTATGATTTTTATCACTGCAAAATGCTTTAGGAGTTTTTATCATAATGCATTAAGGAGTTTTAGTAAAAATGACAAAAACCCAGTAAGAGGTTAAAATGAGACCTCTGCAAGTTTTGTAACATGTGTTAGGCAATTCTAACTTTGTAGAGCTAGAAATAAGAAGGGAAGAGATTTGCCAAAGTATGTTTTCCCAAAACATGTAAGGAGTAATAAAAAGCCATTGAAACACAAGCCAAAATGGAATTTACAGGAAAGCACAGTAATATTAGTGCAGTTTCACTGAAAGTGGGTTGATCATCACCATTCTTTGCCTTCTCCAGGGGTGCCACACCATCTCTTGGGTGACACCCACTGTCATGTTTGGTGGGGAAGATACTGCCTGAAAGCTTTCTGCCTGAGCCTCTTCCCCAGACACACAGCCCAAGCCCTTCATTGCAGAAGCTGTTCTGGCAGCACAGAACGCCTCCTCTGCAGCCCTGTGAGGAGCCCTCTCTCCCAGAACTGGGGGTCTTGGTGCAGCCCCCTGCTCAGAGGCTTCTGGCAAGGGCTGCTGCTCTCTGCTGCAGCCTGGGCTGGCTTTCTGGCAGATGCTCTTTCTGGGGCTTTGTGACCACCCCAGGCACCCGTTTGAGGTCCTCAAAAGCTGATGGAAGCTCTGTGACGCTTCCAAGTCTCCTTGGCACTTCAGGAGGACCAGTGGCTCAAATCCCCTTTCCCTGGGTTTGCTTGCTGCAGAGAAAGGCTATTCCCAGGGCCTGCCAGCAGTTCTGCATGTAATTGTGTAACAGAGTTCACTGTGAACTTTAGACCAGGGAAACCTTGTCTAAAAACATGTGATAAGATAGATATACTTTCACCTGAGGGACGGTAGTAACAGATCTGTTTTAAACTGTCTCAGCACACAGATAAAGAATGAAGACAAGCTTTTAGGTTACTTAGGGAAATAATTAGAAGTACTTTACTGTCAAGCTTTATAATTTTATTTATTTTCCAAGCCTTCTCATGGACTGTGGGCCTCGTGGTCTACCAGAAAGGGCCCAAAGTGTACCAACAAGAAATAAATAAGTATTGGAGATGCCAGAGGATTCTATAATGCTTACCAGTGGCATTCTTTTCATAACATATTTACTTCAATATTCATTACTTAATTTCCAATCATTATGTTCAAATACACTTTTAATACTGTTGGGTTTCAGTTGTGTGCAGAAAATCTCTCCAGACTAAATCCAGTGCACACACCATGGTGACATCCCCACCCTCTCTCCTCTTCCCTCCCAAGCTAATATTCACACTGCTCCTGTCCCCTTAGGCTGCACTTGGCTCCATC